ATATTTTTGTTTTCTGCTGCGTAATTGGATCGTTTACTAACAATTGATGTAGATGAAGAGAGTCGATTACAGAATGTGCTATGGGTTGATGCTAGATGTAGGGCCGCATGTAAAGAATTTGGTGATGTTGTGACCTTCGACTAAGGGTGTACAAAACTGGTTAACCCTTTTTTTTAACCGAACTGGTTTAGGAGAAAACCAATTTTTCGCTTAACCGAAAAACCGGTTAGTAAAAAACGGTTAATTGGTTTTCCCTTGAATTTATAATTTTTTTACCCTTAAACAAATACTTGTTGGAAAGCTGGGCTTATTTGAAGAAGAAGAGTGATGAAGCTGTTGTTGTCTTGCTGAGGTGAGAATGAAGAAAGATGAAGCTGCTGCCAAAGGTAAGAAGGAAGAATGACGAAGTTGCTCTTTCTGTCGAAGGACAAAACAAAGAACGATGAACTGACATGACGAAGAGACTACAGAGAATGACTTGATGTGGAGGTGAGAATGATGCAAAGTTGCTCTTACTTGCCTAGTCGCCTGTAATGGTGTAATAATGTGGATTGTGGATGACTGAATGGGGACTGTGGAGTGTGATGTGGATTGGAAAATGAAGAAGATGAAATGAAAATTGAAAGTGAAAGGGGATTTAGGTTTAGGGAATTAGGGATTTTAATATTTTATTATTTTATATATTAAACTGGTTAGTAAACCGGTTATGATTAACCAAATTCCATGTTATCCTGAACCAGTAATCGAACTAAAAATTCAGTTTTTTCATTTCTTTGAACAAAAACTGAATCGATTTTTTGGTTAACCGAAAATTTGGTTTTGCTTCAGTTTTTGCATTTTTTTTCGTACACCCCTACCTTCAACACAACGTATCTGACGAACAAGTATGATATGTCATTTGCTACTTTTGTGAGGGTTGATCATCGTGGACATTCAACATTGTTAGGTTGTGGGTTAATTTCCCATGAGGACACTATGACATTTGTATGGCTATTTCGTTCTTGGCTTGAATACATGGATTTTGCTCCTAATGAAATTATCACTTATCAAGATAAGGCCAATCAAAATGCAATTGAGATTGTTTTCCCCGATACAAGACTTAGGTGGTGTTTGTGGCATATAATGAAAAAACTACATGAAAAGTTAAGAGGGTATAAGGAATATGAAACTATAAAGTTTAAATTACAAAATATTGTGTATGATTCCTTTACACGTGATCGAAGAACGGTGAAACCTATTCATTGATGTGCACAATTTTCACGAGAATGAATGGTTATGTGGATTGTACAAAGAAAGAGTACGTTGGGTGCCTGCATTTCTTAAAGATACTTTCTAGGCAAGTATGTCTACTACCCAACGTAATGAAAGTATGCATGCATTTTTTGATGGATATGTAAATTCCAAAACAATGTTGAAACAATTTGTGGACCAATATGATAATGCATTGCAAGAAAAAGTGGAAAAAGAAAGGGAGGCTGATTTTGGATCTTTCAAATCTTAGATACCATGCATAACTAATTACCCTATTAAGAAACAATTTCAAAGTACATACACAACTGCAAAGTTTAAAGAGTTTCAAGAAGAGATTGTGGGGAAAATTTATTGTGAGTTATCTTTTCTGAGAAGTGTGATTCATATAAGGAGTATCAAGTTCTAGAAGATGTTTGGTTTGGAGATAATAATCGGCGTGTTCCCTTTGCGGTATACTTTGAAGAAAGTTCGTGTAATATTCGTTGTACTTGTCATTTGTTTGCGTTCAGAGGGATTTTATGCAGACATGCCATTATTTTGTTGATTCATAAAAGACTTTCACACGTTTCAGATAAGTACATTTTATGGCGTTGGAGGGAAAATATAAACAGATGCCATACGAAAATTAAGGTAAGTTATAATAGGTGAAGCACCAACGTTGAAGGACAATGTTTTGATAAGTTGTCTAATATAATGCTGACAATAGCTGATATGACATCAAACCATGAGGAAGATTGTAATATGTTGATGGAATCTATGATTGACATGAGAAAAAAGTTGGAGCAGAAGGAAAGTGAGGAAGGGCTTGGTAGAAAAGTAAACATCTCTTCCACAACCGGTTTGAGTAGTAAAGATGGGGATAGTCCTCCGAAAGAAGGGAATAGTCTAATTATTAGTCCACAGGCAGTTCGTAACAAAGGTCATCCTCCATGCAGAAGAAAGCAATCAAAGGTTGAAGAAATTGTATGTAGGGTTAAAAATAAAAAATTACGAAAACAAAGAATTGGTATGAGTTATACACCTATTGTCACGGCTCCATCTTACCGGAGGCACGGCCGGGAACTCATCCCACTCTTCGTGACTGTAAGGAATATCTCCACCCCCCCTAAGGGATTTCTTTCACCTCCCCCACCACTCGAACCCAAGACTAAGGGGCTATAGTCAATTGGGAAGCATGGTGAGTACCATCAGGCTAGCTCTTTAGAGTCACGAAGAATGGGATGAGTTCCCGGCCGTGCCTCCAGTAAGATGGGGCCGTGACACATATTCTTACATGATATTTGTTTTTTAAACATTATTTACTTATTTGAAGTTTATAATAATATCGACTTGATTATTAATGTGTTATGCTACTTTTTAGAAAAAGGATCATCAGTAGAGTGAGAAAATGAATAGTTTCTTTCATCTACTTCCGTGGCCAATGCCCTCCCATATGATTACCTTAATATTGTTAAGAGTATATCAGAAAAACTCTCACATGAAAAAGTAATTTATGTACTGGGCAGAAGTTTGTAAATGAAGAACATGTTTCATTGGGAGAGATTTCATGTTGTTGACAGGTTGAAGCATATAGAATTGTATTTGGTAGAAATTATTCGCGCTTTGGTTAATTTTTTACGAATGCAATTGAGTTGTATTCTGATTCAGTTGTTTTGTTTTTATTATTTTGGTCGTTGGTTGGGTATGAGTTGGCTGTCTATTGTAAGGTTGTGAATTCATAATAATAACCTTAATGTAACTTATTTTGAATGTTTTCAGTATATATTACCGTCACATTGCAGACTATTTGTTAACCGGTTGTAGATGGAATTTTGGATATGCATTTTATTTGAGATTTGAATTTTGATATGTCTTTTGGTATGTCTAGTGTTATATATACATATGCATTCAAAAGAGTAGTTGAGGTATGTATAAATGAAAGGCAAATATATTTATGAACAAAAGGCAATCTTTATCAAGAACATCTTATGAAATCAATCTTTAATAATTAACATATTTATAAACAAAAGGCAAATATAATCTTCCTACATAAAGCTTAGTATTTGAACCACACATAATGACAATTAACATTTACAGTGTGTTCCCCAAGGATGCTGACAAGGAGGGGGCTGTTGAGAAATTCTTCATCATGGTGCAAGGGGTGGAGGTTGACTAAAGGAGGAGGTGACTGTTGAGAAGTTCTTCATCATGCTAAAAATTGTTGTCATGCGTTCCCCAAGGATATCAACCATTTCTTCTATTCTGGATGCGAACAAGTTGAAATCACTTTACAACTAATTCTATTGTTCCTGCATTTTCCCCTCAATACATGAAAAACGCTCCTCTTGAAACTTTTCGATTTGCTCATATCTAGTTACTGTTTCGTCTAAAGTATGAGAAGACATATCTTGTACATTCTGAGATGATCCAGATTCAATACTAGTTCTTCTTCTTTAGCGCACATTGAGTTGTCCTTCATTTACCCCTTCTGGAACAGTGAAACCTTCCTAAACCATTGCATCTTCCTCTATTTCATCCCTAATCACAAACCATTCTCCTGCCATATTCTTTTTAGTCAAACCCATTTTACACAATGTCACATCCCCACAACAAATTATTTGCAAAAAACTTAATCTTATTTGCTTCATCATTAGGGGTGATCTGAATACCCAACTTCTCACATATTAACATAACAACCATCCCTCAATATATTTTTCATTTTTCTGCTTGAACCTCTGCCAACTTCTTAATCAATAACTTTGCTCAATTTACTTGCCTCTCTGCTATTGCTGCTTCCATGAGAAATAAATCCTTAACCGTCACATTTCCATTTGTCTCTTTCCTGCCATTAAATGTGTAAGTCAAATATCTGTGAAATACTCTCATAACATGATTCTTTAACTTTGTAGATTTACACCTATGTGATGGTAAATCCCTATTCCAGAAACATCCATCCAAGCTTGTTTGGAATCCCACGTTTTAGATACGTTATCCAAACCTTCAAAATCAAATCCTATCCAAGTTGCTAAATCTTGTGGTCTCACTACAAAATTCTTATTCTTTAATCTAAAAAACATTGTATACGCCGGAAACTCATCAGTATCTGTCTCCACGACTTCTAAACTACCAAAAAACTCATAGATCAAATGCTTATATCCATCATATCTAATACTCACAAACTGGTCCCATTTCAAATTATGGACCCAACCATTAACTTCATCAAATAAACCCAAACTTTTTATAAGTCTTAAATCCAAACTTCTTCCAAGACAAATATCACTTTTCGACACCTCCTCGTATTGTTTTTTATGTCGCAAGTCTCGAAATTGGACTTCAGATGACGATGTGCCTCTATGAGGAATGGTTGTATTTTTTGCTCTTACCATATTTTACTTTCTTCTAAAACCTGTATATAAATTAAAAAGTCATCATCATAATTAGTGATAACTAAAGAAGTTCGAAAGATGCAAAAAGTGTCAATAATCATATGAAGTCAATACCAATGAGAAATGACACAAACAATCACAAGAAGAGAAATTAAGCTCAGTTAGCTACATTAAATAATGATGTTCAAGCTAATGTTATATAAGTGTGCCCATCCGAGAGTCTAACATGTTTTTTGCAGGCACTTCATAAAAATAAAACAAAGAACCACATAAAGAATATGCTAGAATGGGTTCAACTCAGGGTCATTTAAACTCCACATTTTCCTTTGGTTACATTTGCCCAACCGAAAGTCTTTAACAGTTTTGAATGTATGTCATGTCCAACATGTTAGTCATCATATTTTATTTTTGCTTTGAGTTTCACTAATTCACTATGAAAATATACATCTACGATCTGGGAAGGTCATATGCTGTTTTAACCTTCTCTAGGATCTGCCACCAAACATGAGAAGAAGAAAAAAATGAAACTTGCGCAAGTGCGATATCCTATCTTAACAAGATCTGAAAAATTTCATAAAGAACAACACATTAAATGTTTTGACAACAAGAAACAAAAACCTTCAGACCTTCAGTCATGCCTGGACCCCGAAATGATTTTGAGGATGTTCTATTAGCTTTGTCAAAACTTGAATTGAAAACCAGCAGCAACCGAACTCTACAATGTCAGAAGTGAAAAAAACCCTTTCACAGTCAAGATCTAAAAGATAGTTCAAACATTATATCCACTTTATTCAGCGACAAAAACATTGAAAACAGAACACCCTACCATAAAAGGTTCTTTCATTTCTTCATGATATAATGGCACACAAAAACAGACCTTTCCACAATTCACCGACCAAATTTTACTATAGCAGGAACTCTTGTTGACAACAACATTATCACATTGCATAAGCAATAAACTGTAAATACTTCCAACACACATCGAAGATATGCCACACACAACTCAAACCAAAAATAAAAAAAACTTGAAAGCAAACCCAGATCAACATGACCAAAATAAACAAAACCCAATTCCCGAAACACAATAGGTTTCGAAAAACTAACCAAAACAAAGCAAACAAACTCATAATCTCGGATGGGCACACTTATACATCTACACATAATAATTCACTATTTTATTAAAGTTAGAAGAAATGAACAACAGATCCTAACTTGTTGGCCAATGTGATTTAATAAGTCCTAATTAAGCAAAGGTTTAAAAAATAAAACAGATATGAAAATAGAAACCTATAACCTTGCAGGATGTATCAGTTTTAATTATTCTCAAATTGTTTTCCTTCATGCTGGAATATAAATTGACAAATTATTCAATCCATTCTTTCCTTGAAACAGCAACAGGAGGCAAAAAATAACTGTTATTAAAACATTATCTTACATTTTTTTACTCCCCTCTTTTCTCCTGGAGTAGATTTCCAGTTAATTGAAGGGTGGTCCAAATTTTGTATTACATTGTTGTCTTCGGCAGCCAAATTAGAAATTTCCATTAACAAATGTAACACAAAGCAAGCTATTACTCGGGGATATACTAAACAGAATTTGATTATCAATAAGCATAAGTGAAGTCCAACAACAAAAAGAAGAGCCAAATGATAGAATAGACTGGTTTCACTAAAATCATATCAATAAAATCACAAACTACAACATTGGAATAACAGGAACAACTCATATTCACTAAAAAAAAAAAAAAAAAAAGAACCCATATCCAGAAGCTGGCATTGAATCAATTCCTTCGTATGAAAAGTTTAGAATTATGGTGGCAATCTACAGGTTAAATTTCACTTTTTCCTAGCATCTCATTGAGTTCTTTACAAACTCAATCAACCTCAATCATCAATCAAAACCAATAAAACATGATGAATACAAACCAAATAAACTCAATAACTTACAATAACAATGGCATATGACTTTGACGAAGAAGAAGAGCGACAAATGAGGAATGAAGACGAAGAAGAAGAGCGGCAAATGAGGAACGAAGACGAAGAAGTGAAAGTTGTAAATCAAGCTCAATTATCAATCAAAACCAATAAAATATGATGAACAACAACCAAATAAACTCAATAACTTACAATAACAATGGCTGATGACTTTGACGAAGAAGAAGAGCAGTAGATGAGGAATGAAGGCGAAGAAGAAGAGCAGCAGATGAGGAACGAAGATGAAGAAGAAGAGCAGCAGAGGAGGTGTTTTTGTTTTTTAAAACTTTTTTGGGACCAAAATTTTTAGACCTAATTTTTTTGAATATTCGTATGTCAATGGACGAGCGTCCATCTAATAGGGACATTCGTTTATTGAACAGGGACGTCCGTCCATAATATATGGATGTACGTCTATGAATTTTGTTTTAAAAATGTTTTAATTTAAACTATGGATGGGCGTTCATTCTAGGTGGATGCTCGTCCATAGTAAATAAACTCTTGTCCATATAATATGGACAAGAGTCCATTATTATTTTCTCATGGACGGGAGTCCATTTAACATGAATGGTCGTCCAATAATCATGGACGTCCCTCCATATTTAATTGACGGGCGTTCATTCACGTAATAGTTGTTAATGTGCTACGTGGTTGCCTTTGACTTATCTGACAAGTCGTTTGGTACAAAATTTCGGTGCAAGTCTTCGGTGTCTGTGACATTATTAATAATACCATGGAAAGCTTTTTTAGCTATGCTAACAGTATTGTTTACTTATTTTAAATTGTTAATCTAGTGTGAAATAGCTTAATCTAAGTTTAATGTCCATCTAACAGTTCAGCTTGTCATCTTTTTGTGGATTTTTAATTTGGAGTAATTTTTAAATTTGCATTTTAATATTTTATGTATAACAGGTATGCAGTAACATAAAGTTGATTGAGTTAGCATTTGATTGATTTTCACTTGTCATTTTTAAAAGAACCTATTGATTAGAACATAATATCATCTCCTTATTTCCTAATATTTTCCTTTGTATAACTTTTCTGACCATCTTTATGTTTACCAGCTTGGCAAAAGACTTGCATTTCCTGCAAAATGCAGAAGGCTCTGGATTAGCTCCATTTGATTGTTGGATCTGCTTAAGAGGCATCAAGACCATGGCCTTACGTGTAGAGAAGCAACAGGTACTACTTCAGTTTGTTCCAAGCATTAATTTCTCTTTGAATCTCTCGTGTCAAAATCATTTCCTTTCATATCTTCTATACGATTCAAACTACTTTGTATGGTGGCAAGTTGAATGCCAAACATAATGAAATTAAATCTTGTAACGCTATGTAATCCGGCTGGTTGGACATGAATAAAAATCTCTTAATGCTTTTCATATTATGTCTATTGGATACCAAATGCTGAGTAAACGTGTGGCGTATGTCTCTAGTCATGAGACCAGAGACATATAGGATGATGATTTTAAGAAAAATTTTGAAGCTGGAAAATATGAAAATTTAGAAGCTAATGTGCTTATCCTTGTCAACATTGAAAGCATAATTTCGGATGGTACAGAAAAGTTGAAACTTCTTAGTTTGTGCTTTCGTCCAGGAGTTTGGAGGAATGGATTTGGAATTTGGTTCAGAAATACAGCGATAGGAATGAGCTTCATATTTTTGTCTTTTTTTCTCCTCTTTCCTGTGTAACTCTAAACTTTTTACATCTCATTGTATGTCATTCACACTATATGAGCTAAATCTCAAATTCAACTCCTCTCATATTCAATCGTCAATTTCCAAAGTAGCATTTGCTCAGACTTTTACACTTGTAAATGCTGTAAAGGTTGATTATATAGAGCATGAGTTAATCTGCTGAGTTGATAGACCTACAAAACAACATCTATATATCATTCTAATATTCAAATTTAAACAATTTAAAATGTAACCAATTTAAATCAAAGTTGAGATTATGCTGCTATGTGTGGAATTTAATTATATGGCAATCTTCATATGTATGGTAGTCTTCTTCACAGGCTTCCATGAGTAACCTGAAGTTTTGAGTGTCTTTCCTCAGGATGGTGACTATATGAACTTCTTGCTAATAATTAATGATTAAGAATTTAAAATTGGTTGATATCAGTTACAAAATTTTGCATCAATTGCTTAAACCAGTACACGTGATTACTGCTGTTTCTTGTGGCTGCAAAATTATGAAAGTAGTTTAATGGAGGGTTGTACTTTATTTGAGGAATTAGGCGGTATATTTATTTGCATGCTTTCTGTCACATTAGAGAGCCACATTTTCATTTTTTTACAGGTAAATTTCTTAAAGATCTATTGACATATATCAACTGCAACAATCTTGATTTGGCAGATTTAAAATTGAAACTGAAACATTAGCCAATTTTTCAGGAGAATGCTCAGAAAATTGCTTGAGTTCCTTGCTTCCCATCCACAAGTAAAGAAAGTTAACTATGCTGGTCTCCGCAGTCATGCTGGACATGCAATACACTATTCTCAGGTACTGCCGAATAGATCTGTTAATGTGAAGCCCAAAAATGGCATTTTGAACTTTAAGTTCAAAGCTGTCGTTTTAGCAGACTGCCACAAGAAGAGATCCTGACCATTGAAAGTATTAAGAATCTGATGGCCAGAATTATCTCTCCTCAAAACAGTATAGATCGACACTCTTACTCTGTCGAAGGCTAAGGTTTTTCATACTGTTCTTTAGATTAGAAAAATTCTCTATTAGGGTTTGTTGTGTATCTCTTTTATTGATTGTAATCTTGACCGATTGGTTGTAATCGTTGGTTGAGGGTTGAGCTTCCTTCAAGTCTTGGGAATCTCGGTTTAGTATTCTCATAGGAAAGGTTACAGTTTGTCTTGAGAGAGTGTTACACAGTGTGTGAATAGATTGGGTGTAAATCTTGGTTGTATTGGTGTATAAACTTAATCTCTAGTGCAGTGAGCCCTAAGTTTACTGGAGCTCAACGTGGATGTAGCTTATCCTATATTGGGTAAGTGAACCACGGTAAAATCTGTGTTCTTGATTTCTTTACAGTTTGATTGTGTGGTTGTGTGTGTCGAATTGTGGATTGTTAGGTTAATGATTCTGCAGATTATCTCTACAGTGGTATCAGAGCCATCAATTTAGGGTTTGTCGATTTTAGGGTTTACTGTTGAAATTAGGGTTTGATAATTTTTGGGGGTTTCTTGATTTAAAGATTCAGCGTAGTCTAGGGTTGGGAAATCTACGAAATTAAGTCCCTAATTTCTTGAGGTATTCAGAATTCGAGCAAAGCCCCTGTTTAGAATCTGTCTATCGAAATTCACCAAACACCATTTTTTTATGTTTTACGCAATGAGTACCTCACGTGTTGAGATCACAAACTATGATGGCAAAATCGATTTCAACACTTGGAAGAAGAAAATGAAGGCACTCCTGTCACATAACAAAGTGGTAATCACACTGGAGACGGACCAGACCAAATGGCCCGAGGAAAAGCTGAAAAATAAAGCCGAAATTGACAAAGAAGCATATAAACTCATCGTCATGAATCTTGCTGACAACGTATTACGAAAGCTAGATGGTGTTGGGACACCGATAACTCTCTAGGGTAAGCTTGAATCTCTTTATGCAATTCAATCTGCTCCTAATCTTGCTTATTTGAAAGGTATATTGTTTTCATATAAAATGGATAGTGCTAGGACCATAGAAGAAAACTTAGATGAGTTCTTGAAAATGACCCTTGTACTCAAGGGCACTGATCAAGAACTCAGTGAGTCTAGCTTAGCCATGATTCTTTCGTACTTTATTACTGAGGAATATCAGGTTGTTAAGAATGCTCTGCTTTACACTGGAACTGTCCCTAGTCTAGACCTAATTGCATCAGGATTAAATGCTAGAGAACTAGAGCTTAGGGTTCAAAAGAAAAACAACAGTAGTTTGTTTGTAAAGGGAAATGGAGATTCTAGGCAGTTTGGGAGTAATTCATAATTTAATATTGGGTTTAGAAATAAAAAGAAGGGCAAGAACACTCATAAGACAAAAGGAGAAACAAGGAAATGTTTCTTCTGTAACAAGACTGGTCACCTGAAGAAAAATTGTTATGATTGGATTAGAAAACAAAAACAGAATAATAGAGAGAGTAATTTAGCCTCTAGTAAAAATGATGGCCAAGAATCAGAAGTCTTAAATGTATCTAGGTCTGAAAATATAGATGAATAGGTGTTAGACTCTGGGTGCTCATTTCATATGAGCCTCAATAGAGAGTGGTTTCAGGATTTTGAAACTAGTGAGTTAGAAACTGTGTATATGGGTAATAACAATGACTGCAAGGTCCAGGGAATTAGGAGTGTAGCTTTAAGACTCAATGATGGTAAATCCGTTAAACTAACTAGGGTGAGATACATACCAGAATTAAAAAGAAATCTGATCTCCCTAGGCACATTAGATGAGTTAGGTTGTTGCTATAAAGCTAAATATGGTTGCCTAAATGTGTATAAGAATAAGAACTTAGTCCTAAAAGGTGTCAAACGCAATGGCCTCTACATCCTGTGTGGTAATTACTGTTCAAACTATGTTAACTTTGCTTTGTTTACTACTAACCTTACTGTTACAGAGAAATGACACCTCAGAATGGGCCACATGAGCTAGAAAGGATTCAACATTCTGAGCCAGCAAGGTATGTTTGGTAAGGATCCTATTGACACCTTAAATTTTTGTGAGACTTGTATATTAGGTAAACAACGCAGGGTGAGTTTCCAGAAAGGAACTCACCTGGCCACCAATTGCCTAGAATATCTTCATGTTGACTTGTGGGGGCCTGAAAAAACCAAAACACATCGAGGAAGCAGTTATTTTCTGTCTATAGTTGATGACTATAGCAGAAAAGTTTGGGTTTACCTGCTTAAGATCAAAGATGAGGCTCTTGCTAGGTTTAGAAGTTGGAAAGTGTTGGTAGAAAACCAGACTGATAAGAGAGTCAAAGCTCTTAGAACAGACAATGGCCTAGAATTCTGTAATTGTGAGTTTGACCAATTTTGTAGTGACCAAGGGATTCTTAGACATAGGACTGTGAGGAAGACTCCATAGCAAAATGGAGTCTTTGAAAGGATGAACAGGACCCTGTTAGAGCAGGTTAGATGTTTATTGTTTACATCAGGTTTACCAAAATCTTTCTGGGAAGAAGCCCTTAACACTTCAGCATACTTGGTTAATAGGAGTCCCTCAAGGGCTATTAATTTCATGTGCCCAGAAGAAAAATGGTCTAATAGGAAACCCAACCTAGGTCATCTTAGAGCCTTTGGGTGTGCTACTTATGCACAAACTAGTGAGGGAAAACTAGAACCTAGGTCTCTAAAATATGTATTCTTAGGATACCAA